ATCTTCTCAGGTTTTGCTTACAAAGCTGCAGCATTTTGCGGCTGCTCGAGCTCGACTGGAGAAGTTGTCTGAAGAGGTTCCTGCAGCTCTGGATTTATCGGGAACAAATGACACTGTGCGTATTGCGCCATCAATTGATCAACAAGAACTAACGCCACCATTGCTTCCACCATTGGCACAGCTGCAACAACAAAATCCCAAAACCAAACTCAAAATCTTGAGTAATGAAAGTAAGATCAACTCAATGGTTTCGGGTTTATTAATACAAACCTCGTGGAACAACACAAGGATCATGACGGCCACGTGCAATCATTTCGGTTTCTTTCTTATCTCGGGTTACAGTATTCTGCTTCCTCTGCATATTGGAAAGAGAAACATTATTAATGTGATTGGATGATGATCTCAAGACTCAATCAAATACTTAATTATCTTCATATGGAAACTGCATGGGTTTTTAATCACAAACTTACTCCAATTGTAGATGTTGGCTTGAAGGCTATTCTCATGTTTATTATCTCACCATTCGATATCCCTCCCTACGCAAATGACCGATATCAGCAATCTCTCAGGACACGAGTAGTTTATGGACACATTAAACACAAGATTTTAACCAACCTGAATTCCACCAGATCGGTTTGTTCTAGTCCGTACTCTTCCATTTTCATCGGTATAGAACTCGTCATTGTGTTCAAGACCAGTCATAAACGTACCTACGGGTTCATCAAGTATGATTCTTACTTCTGAAGAGGAGTTTTAAATTAGTTAAAGAAGAGCGAATTATAACTTTCTATACCTGAGAAGCCGCTTCCAAACTCAAATCCCTTTGTTGCAGGTAAGGACATACAAGCTTTTGCCAGTTCTGCTTCAAGTTTATCGAAAACCGGTGTACCAAGCCCCTGCGCAAGGTAGTTTCAACAATCATTCGCTGAAGTTCATGCAATCAAACTTCCAAGGAAAACACACATATTAAACTATTTTCATGGTACAGTGAGTTCATACACGTGGAGCATTCCGAACTATGCAGGTCACAACACCACCAACAGAGTTCCCTTTGGTCCTGACAGCATCAATCGCAGCTATCATCTTTTCTGCATACTCGGGATTAGGGCACCTGACAATGTTACTTTCTATCTGGAAGACAAAGACGAACAAAAGGAGGTAAGAATGTTGCCAGAAGAACCTTAACAAAATATGGAATTTACACATAAAACAAAATGTAGGCTATACTTTGAAAAAGGATGCGCACCTGTTCGAGGGTCAAATTCTCGTGGTCCACCAAATCCTCTGGAAGTACAACCTGGTGGACTTGTGAGACATAGGCAAGAATCTGGAGGCATTTAAAAAAAAAAACAGAGACAAACTTAAGTAAGTTGAAAGAGTTGCATGAATCTTTAGAAAATTGAGTTAATAAGCCAAATTACTAAGGGTCATCTTCTTTGCAAGGATCTACTAAGATGAGATGAAAGAACAAACCAAACGTAAAAACCAGAAAGTAAACCCACCTCGGTCCCTGCATATTGCTTCAAAATTTTCTTGGCCAAAGCTCCAGGAGCAACTCTTCCAATGGTCTCTCTAGCTGAAGATCTCCCACCACCCTTAAAAAGAATCACACTTAGAGTAAGCNAAGANGNACGNTGCNNTTGNACTACATAAAAACCCTACCNAGAAANGTAACNTATAAANAAGTTAAACNNAANAAAGCAAGCAGTTACCTGTACTGATCTGACACCATACTTCATGTCATAAGTTGCATCAGCATGCGATGGCCTATAAGCTACCGACATTTCACTGTAATCCTGAAAATCCAGTGAGTCTATCAAAGGTCACAATTCACATTAAATCTCCAAGCTTTCTCTTCTATTCTGATTAAGGCACTAACATAATATAATAAAACTTAAGTCTTTCCTAAAGCAAATAGCGAACATTTACATTTAACAGCATTGAGTATGTTATATGCATAGAGATGTCAAAAACTTACAAGTCCTCTCTGATCTGTGTTTGGCACAAACACATGGATGGATGTTCCTGTCGTCATTCCTGCATTTTATGGCTATCAACAGTAAAAACAATATCGAGAAACCCAAACCAGAATTCAAACTGTGAATGAAATTAAAAGTATACCTTCGGAGACTCCAGAAGATATCCGGCAAGTATCAGTCTCTTTTCTAGGAGTCGTGATCCGGCTCTGACCTGGTCTCCTAATAACACCAACAAAACAAAAATGTTAATCTATAAAAGAATCATATATTCAGAAACACGAATAAAGAGCTTTCATCCTTATAATACCTCCGATCAAGATCGAATTGCATATCGGATTCAGAGAGTGGAATCCGAGGAGGACATCCATCAATTATACAACCAACTCCTCCTCCATGTGATTCACCAAAAGTAGTAACTCGAAAATGAGTCCCATATGAACTTCCAGTCGCTTGTATCTCTGCAAATCAACACACCCAAAAATCCAAAATAACTCATAAAGCTTCTTACTTTCAATCCCTCCTTCTTCTAATGTAATGTTGGACTCTACAAACTAATCAAATACACCCAAATTCCAATAAAAACTAAACTTTATTCCAATAAACTTTACTCTAAAAATGAATTCAATAGATAAAAAAGACTCTTTTTGCTAGATACAAGCTTGAAATCTAAAACTTTCATAATCGGTCACGAATTTGAC